GAAACTGGAGCCCTTGTGCCTCATCGGTAGGAATGTGAAATGGTATGCCTGCTATGGAAAACATTATGACAGTATCTCAAAAAATTAAAAATACAATTACCGTATAATCCAGCAACTCTACTTCTGTGTGTATATCCAAAAAAATTCAAAACAGGGTTTAGAAATCCTATTTGTACGCCAGTGTTCATAGCATTATTCACAGTAGCTAAAATGTGGAAACAACCCAAGTGTCCATCGCTGTATGAATTGAAAAGCCAAATGTGGTATATACATGCAATGGAATGCCACTCAGCCTTACAAAGGAAAGAAATTCTGGCATATTCTACAACATGGATGAACCTTAAAGACATTATGCTAAGTGAAATAGCCAGAGATATTGTATGATGGTTTCACTTGTATGAGGTACTTAGAGTAGTCAAAGTCATAAAGATAGAAGAAAAGTAGAATAGTGGTTGTCAGGGAAGGAGGGAATTATGTTTAATGGGTATAGAGTTTCAGTTTCACGTGGTGGACGAGTTACAGCTATGAAGGAGATGGTCAGTGATGATGATTGTATAAAATGATGAGTATATTTAATACCACTGAAATGTACACTTAAAAATAGTCAAGATAGTAAATTTTATATTATGTGTATCTTACTGCAGTAAAAGAAATTGGGGGGAAAAATAATGCCTCTACCAAAGATACCTGTGTCCTAATCCTCAAAACCTGGCAGAAGGGATTTTTCAGAAATGACTTAAGGATCTTGAGATAGGGATATTACCCTGGATTACCCAGGTGGTAATCACAAAGGTGCCTGTGGTGAAAGAGGCAAGCAGGAAAGTCAGCATAGGAGAAAGATTCAGAGTAGCTGTGCTGCTGGCTTTGAGGTGGCAGAAGGGGCCGTGAGCTTAGGAACCAGTCGTTCTCCAGAAGTTTGTAAAAGGCAGGGAAATAAATCTCCCCTAGAGCCTCCAGTGATTCCTGTTTTGGATTTCTGGCCCCCAAAACTAAGAGAATAAATAGGTAGTGTGTTGAGTCACGAGCTTGTGATAATGTGTTCCAGCCTCAATAGCAAACATACCTCCACCTGCCGCTATTAGACTGTAACCTCCTCTAGGCAAGGACCTGGTCTGCCCTGACTTCGCATATCACAGACAGTCACTGTTCCTGCAGCTCAGGTGCTTTTGCTTTTGAATAGAGAGTGTCTGACAGATGATCATGCCCCTTGTGCTCACCACAAGCCTGATGAATGATGATATCACTGGGTACAGGTCAGTTTTCCCAGAATATCCCCGTACTTAAGAGCCCAAAGCTGGAATGCCTCTAAGGAATAATTCTCCTTGAACAGTCCACGCCCACCACTGGGAGAGACCATGACTTAATCCCCCTCACTCCCGACACTGTGCAGAGCTTTGAGTGGAGTTATCTGCGTTCAGGTGCTAGAATTGGAGGTTCTCACAAGAGAGCTTAGGGATTCCAGAACTAAAAGAGTGAATAAAGCCAAAATCCAACAAGCTAGAGCATTCTAGAAAATCACCAGCACTGAGGGAGATCAGGACATTACCAGGCCAGAAATGTGGGGACCAGGGAGATAGGAGCAAACAGGCCAAAACGAACAGGGGAGAAGGGGCTGTAGTGTCGGGAACTGTTACAGCTGCTTTTTGGCCCAAGTAAGGCCTGGTCCATAAGTGGTTTAAAATACTGAAGATGGATTGGATGGCACTTGATTTATGCCCACACAAATCACTGCTTTTTCTGCCCAAATATACTCCCTTTTAAGGCAAAGTTGGGTTTTCAGGTACTGTGCAGGAATATTGATGTCCCAGTTATAGTTTTTCCTAATTGAATCTAGCTTTTAATGAACAGAAATGAATATACCACTAAGATCTTGAGTCCTAGAGACCAAATGTAAATACTTTAAAATCCATTAAACTTACAAAGATTTCTGAGTATAATATACAAAATTTCACATCTGATTTTTCATATCTTCTATGTGTTTTTAAAAGAAAACTTTATAACCCATGCCTGATATGAATAAGACCTTTTAGTTTTTTATTATAAACATTTAGACTTAAAGTGATTATAACTGACAGTTAAGACCAACAGGAGCCAGTGCCCTGTTCGTGGACAAATTATCTATTTCAGACTAAATCAAAAGTAAACATTCTCTAAAGTCCCTTCAGGTCTGCATTAGTCCTGTGGAAGCCGAACGCACAGGCCAGCCCTCTCCCCTCCCCTCCCCTCTGTATGTCCTGTGGGCTGACTTTAAAATGAAGTCTTTTCCATAAAGCAGTATTACACACATTTTGACCCATTACACATCTGAGTTCTTTGATTATTTAACTGATTTTTCTGAATCAACATTTTTATTTCATCAGGAGAATATTGCAAAAGATCCTGAGATGTGTTGTTTTATAATCTATGATTAATAGTTTCCTAAATAATGGAGTGGGTGGAGAGAGGAGAAACTATTCTGATGACCTACAGTTTTTTTTTAATATTCTTTAGAAGAAGTAATAGCAGTGAATCCATGTCACTTCATAAATGTTTGCAAAGATCATTACAAGGAGTTTTAAATGATGAAGTTATATTCCTGAATATCTGCTTTTGAGTATGCTGAAAATCAGCTTTAAAAGCACAAGCAGTAAAGGGGAAGCCAGCACCCCCAAGTCGTGGAGCAGGAGGGGCGCTGTCCCTGGCAGGGCGCCCCTCACCCCAAGGCTCTGAAAGCCATCAGAAACCGTCTTCAGAAAGAAATGTGTCCTGACTTGTCATTGGTTCTGAAAATCAGTCGGTTGGTGTTGAGCAAACAGACTCCTTTTTAGAACCTGTAGAATAAACTCAGACACATTAATCCCTGCTCATGTCTCTGGTGGTCTGACCCTCACTCTGTGGTGTAATGGAAGGAAAGGCCAACTGACATTAGCTAACAGAATTTGTGTAAATGTTCAGATATGCCTGTAAGCAAATAAATATCGTTTCTTAACCTTGTTTTGATTGAGTCCCATAAGACAAAAAGTGTCTCTCCATGATGATACAAGATTACATGACAGTCTCTATGTACTTTGTTTGACAGTGTTCAGTAAATCTCAAGATTTGTCTTAAGGCTTAGAGAGAAGTGAAGAGGTCACCTCCTCTTTAGCCTGGATGTCTCGGTCCTTGGACAGAGAGTCAGAAGACCTTCGTGGTCTTCCTGCCTTCCCCACTGGTAAATTTGTATGACCTAAGACATTCCACCGAATCTGTTAGGCCTCATTTGCGTCATGTGCGAATGAGGAGACCAATACTTCTTCTACCAGCTATGAAAAGCTAAGATTGGGCTGCGGTGAAGGATGTGAGTGTACTTAGCGATCCCGCCGTACAAACCAGCTGACAGTATTTCATAAGAGCTGGTTTCCTGAGAAGATAACATAGTTTAAAATCTCATCTCATATTTTTAGTAATATCAAAAATAGTGCTCATTCTGGAAATAAATGCTTACCATAGTTATTAACAAAACTCTACTTTGATGCAACTAGTAAATTAAAATGAGTAGAATAATCCCTTTGGAAGAGATAAGTTATGAATTAGAAAACTAGACAAGCCACTAGAAATTTGCCAGCCAGCGCTTCTGAATTCCGATTTGATTAGTGGCGCGCCTTGAGTGCTTCGGGCGAGTCGATGCGATGAGCGCAGATCTCTCCTGCCTCTTCCCCAGTACTGATTCCAGCTGAAAGGAACAACCATAAAGCAGGGGCGGGGGACGGCATCAGTGTTTAAAATAGGGAAGAATGTCATCAGTGCCAGAAATAAAAACACTTCCGCTCGGTCTCACACAGATCCTAGCAGATTAAAGGAAGGCCCTGAGCAAGGACTTGGTACCTGAGAAAAGCTGTGTCCCGGGCAGGGTGGCAACTGGCCCGGTTGGAACAACACCAGGAGACCTGGGGGTCTGTGCGGTGGTTAGAACGAGTGGGCTGTAGCAGCTGCATGACTTACATCTCAGATTCAAACCCAGTTCAGAGAAAGTGAGGGCTTCTTTCCAAGCATTTCAGCAAGAGTCTATCTTCCTCCATTTCGTTAATTCTGACTGTGACATGTGCCAGTTCCTGAGCCACACTGAACAGCCAGAGAGATAAAATATGCAGTTTATCTATGGCCTGTACACCCCTGAGCCAATGACTAGGCAGGGAGCCCCCCTAAAGCACATTGGCTAAGAGGAAGGGAGGAAGAGGGGGTTCCTCCAAGGGAAATCTGGGTGCAGTTTCTAGGAAAAAAAGGGTGAATGAATGCTTGGCAGCCCATTTACTAACCTGCAGACGCTTGGTCACTAGGTGCTTTGTGTACACCGAGTTCAGGAGCGAGATGGGTTCAGTGAACACCTGCTGGCTGTGCTAGTGATTTTAGGAATTCCTCTGCGATCGCCATTGTCTCCTTGCTCTTCCATAGCACCACGTGCCACGGTTGCTAGACTGACTCCATGGTGATTTGAGTGAAGCTAGTCCAGCGCCCGCTTATTCTTAAAAGTCTGGCTGCCCCATCCTGTCCTGCTAATACTCCTGGGTGATGAAACTGTGTCTTCAAAAGCAGTTAAGATGTTTCCATCCTACAATATGCCAACACACTACTGGGCTTTTGAGGCCTCATGCTTTCCTGGTCGCTGCCTCCCTTGAGACAGTGTCCTTTGTGTATCCAGAAGGAAGCTATGTTTCTAATTTCTAAGTCCCAACAGCTCTAGCGGACCCTGTCCAGTTTGCCCAGACTTAGAATCTAAACAGGGTGGGGCTACCTAGGCAGCAAAGGGCGGGGAGGGCAGTGGGGGCCTCAGCACCGGCTGTGAAGTGCCCGTCTGCCACTGCGGCAGCAGCCTGGAACCCCCGGGGGAGAAGACGACACGCCACAGCGCACCTGGGCGGGGAGGGCTGCGTTTATTCCTTGAGGTTTCTTGTTACCTTATTATACAACTCAGATGGTTTGCTTTTAACGGTCTGCTTGTCGTGTTCCTTTTGACCGATAAAAATGTTGACATTCTTTATCAGGTCATGCAGCATATTCGACGGTAACCGCCAGGATCCCACAGGGCTGACGGCTGCCCTTCAGGCCACAGACCTGGCCGGAGTCCTGCACATGCTGTACTGTGTTCTCCTCCACGGCGCCATCTCCGACCCCAGCACTGCCGGGCCCGAGGAGAGTTACACGCAGAACACGGTCCAAGTGGCCATTCAGAGTTTACGTTTCTTCAACAGCTTTGCAGCTCTTGATCTGCCTACTTTCCAGGTACCAAGCATTGGTGTTGGTGTTAACCAACCGAGAGTTAATTTTAGTGTGGATATGTGAGGTTCCTCTCCTGGATTGGAGCATGAGGAATCAACCAATAGAGGGAATTATAATACATGTCATTTATTAAGCTACTATTTATTGAAACTATATTAGATGTTCTACATATGCTTTCTCATTTATTCTCATGACTACCATGCAAAATATTATTATACCTATTTTAGAGATAGAAAAGCTGGCGGTTAAGTTTTGCCCAAGGTTTCACATGGCTGAGCCAGGACTGGTACCCATAATTTTCTGACCCCAAAGCCTATGCTACTGTGCTATTCATAAATATTCTGTCCTGATTTCTTTAGAAAAAGACATATCATCCCATCAACTTTTAAATATTAAGAAAAATAACAGTTTTTTCTATAAACAGAACTAAAATCAAATAGATTATTTGATTGATATGGCTTTCTAAGGATGATTTAACTGATCTGTGTCCAGTGGAAAGTGCATGTATTGTTAAATGTACAAACCCCTATAAGTTGAGTTTTTATAGCCAAAGAAGAAAAAATTGCATTATGCTATAACATCAGTCTGTCAGCTTATAAAAAGTTTTTTTTCATGTACGAAATTTAATTTTCATAAACACTGAACCTTTAGAACAGAGCAAGCCCCAAGGAGTAGACTTTCTCCTTCAGTTATTAGCTGTCAAGTGATTTCATTGAGAAAGGAAAAAACTTGGCAGATGATGGACTCATAATTTAGATGAGTTGCTTTACTCAGAGGAAAAAAGGTTATAGAGCCACAAATGCATGAAAATGGAGGCCTTTGGCCTTTCCGAGATGGAAGAAGCGCTTCTGTTTTGTAGCTGGTGACAAATGTGCAATTCTTTTCTTCCTGTCATTCTGCTCACAACAGGAAATTAGTAAGTCGCATCCCTGGAGTCAGTATCTTTCACCTTGTAGAGTCAGTTTGTCCATAACAAGAACATAAGTCTGTTCCTTAGGGCCAATGCTTTTCAGTTTCCAAAGCAATTGAACAGCCTTAGGCAGTGACTGCACAGTATGCAAAGTTCTGAGAATTACAGCCACACTGAAAACAGGAGCTCTCTGTTACCAAACTTGCCGGTGGTTCTTGCCCCCTGGGTTGAACATAACACCTGTGTTTTATGAATACCCGAGCCCATTGTGTTCTCTGTGGAAACAGCTTGGAAATCAGGAGATGCTGACTTTATCAGGAGACATCCTCACAATATGGAGACCAGCATCAGCTAGGTCCAGCTGGAGTGATTTCCTTTGTTACGAGGTATTATGAAAAGCAAGTGTCTAAAAACTGTCTCTTAGATTCTAATATCAAATAGCCGGGAGCTGAAATTATCTGGAGACTCCTTCACTTTTATGTTTGATGCCTGGGATGATGCAAAGACAAGGTTCAGTGAGGACTACTGGCCAAAGACTCTACATAGGGCTTCTGGGTCACGGTGCCTGGGTTTGGAGTGGGAGTGTCCTGAGAGGAAGCTTCCAGAAAATAAATGTTCCAAGAGAACCAGAGAGAAGCTGCACTGCTTTTTATGACCCAACCTCAGAAGTCTTATATATAACCCATGCTTATTGGTTAAATACCCATAACGCATTGGTTGAATCAGTCATAAGCCTTCCAGGTTTAAGGGGAGAAGACATAGGCTCACCTCTTGATGGAAAAACTGTGAAAGACTTGTAGCCATTTTTTCTGAACCACCAAACTCTTGTTCAGCAAGTAAAGCAAAACCTGTGTCCACAAACATCATTGATGTGGGTGGGTATCTGATCAAGCATGTAATGCTCAAGTAAATACAACACAAATATGCAGTATTGGGATGCAAAGCAATGGTGAGTTTGGGAGAAAAGGACTCTTTTTATGTTAGATATAATCTGAGAAATTCATGTTCTAGTTCATCAAAGCAATTACATGTCAAAAGTGAGATTTTAGGGACTATGTTTATAAAGGATAGGGAAAGATATTTTAGGTACAGCATAGGTCTTACCCTCAGAAAAACCTGAGACACAGTTTATGAATTGGCTAGGAGGATCACAGGAACTTAAGAAGAAAACTGAAATGAGAGAAATGGTCTGACGAGACATGTTGATGGTTTGAGTCCCAATGCATCACAAGAATGCAGAGCTGTTAACAGGCAGGCATCCCATCAGACCTCTGCATCTGGAGCCAGACTGACCTAGCTTACTACCAAGTTGTGTGACCTTAAGCAAATCATTTGACCCATAAGACTCCGTTTATCATCTGTAAAATAAACATGAAGGACATCTACCTCACCAGTCTGAGGATGAAATGAGATTCTATAAAAGCGCTGTAGGGTGTCAAGAAATGTAGACTGACTCAGCTTCTGAAGACGTTCTCGCAGGTGTTGAGTCAGTCCAGTTTTGACCGCGACATTCCCGGAGCTCCTTCCTTCTGGTGACCCGGTTTCTTCAAAGCCATAAACCTGTGTACTCTCGTTTTGTGTGAGAATGCTTCGTGTAGTAGTAACAAAGGTTACCCATTAGAAAGTTTTCGTAGATGGTTCCATTTCATTGTGTACTAATAAGGCTGTCAAAATATTTTTCTCCCTTTAGCAAAAGGATCTGATTTCACTCGGAATTCATACTGGCACGGATGGCCTTGAGATCCCAGATACTGTATATTGCGTACACTTTGACAGTTTTTACAATTGAAGGTGGTCTCAAGAAACAAATCAATGTACTGACTTGGCAATTAATTCTTGCTAAAAAGGAAATATAGTTTCCTTGAAAAATTGGTTTCATTTTTATATTCAAACTTACATGCCCCCTGACCTGCCCTTATCAGTGAAGGTTAAACAGAGGGCACTGGGTCACAGCATGCTGGACGAGACTAATTAAATAAGGGCTGAGCTGAGAAGGTGTCACCACTTGATTTAAAGGAGCAGAGCCCTCCTGAAGTCTCTCTGGGGCCTGAAAAACATTTTATCTCAGGGAAATGAAACTGAAACAGAAGGTACTCTTAAAATTTAGCAGTAATTTCGTTTCAGCAATGCTCACTGAAGACTGTTGCATCGCTGTTAGGCAAAGTGAATTCACTGAAACTTCCAAGCTGCAACATACCTGACCTAGCTCAAGCCCGCCAAGACCTCAAATCAAGAGATGAGTTTAAAATGCTGCCTTTTCCCACAGACCAGCAGCGGTGCTTCATTCCATTGTGGGCTGCGAATGTGTTCTGTGGGCTTCGCCTCTCCCCTTTGCCCTCCTGTCGCTCTGTCTGTTTGACATGTTTATTAAATAGAAGCGCCAGGCTGCACAGGCCGACGGAGGCTCTCCTCGCGCACTGCCCACCGCCAGCAGCCCTTTGCCTGCCTGGGGAAAGGATCCCAGAAGCCTCATAGCCGAGGGGGCTTCATGGTTTGTTTTCCTAGGGTGCCGGGGAGGTGGGGGGTGGAGGTTGGCATTAGTAGTTGGGTTTCTTGGGATTCTTTTACATTCTTTTGGGAGCCTTGGGTTTATACAGTTGTTTATGTGAATAATAACTAGTTGTTGTTGACATTTATTTTCTATTTGAACTTAAGTAAATAATTAAAATTATGTTTTTATCCCTGTGTGAAAAGAAAATATTTTCTCCTTCAGAAAAAAAGAGTATTGGAAGTTAGCTAAATGATAGATTTACGGGTGAATTTCAGTATTTTAATATTTTTCCAAATTTTCTACAGTAAGACTATGTATACAATGAGAAAAAAATACCATTTAAAATAGAACGAACAACCATGCTTCAGTTGGATAATGGCATTTGGTCTGCTATGCTGTGTCCTCTCCCTTTTCAGGTTAAATGTTGCATTTATTGTGGTCATTTATTACAATACCCAACTGAACTGTTTGGTGGTGCCCTAGCAATGTCATGCTTTTCAGACACCGTGGCGGGAAGTGCACAGGGCCCGGTCTTACTGTGGTTTGCAGCCCCGGCTTTCCCCGGGCTCAGAGTTCTCACTGCCTCTTGTCTGTGTCAGTCTGTTGTAGGGGCGGAGGGCTTGTCCCTGGCATTCCGGCACATTGCCAGCTCCCTGCTGGGCTACTGCAGCCAAGTCCCCTGCGAAAGCCTCCTTCATGAGGTCGTCGTCTGTGTGGGCTACTTCACTGTCAGCCACCCAGATAACCAGGTGAGAGACCCCAGGAATTCCCTTGGACTGCTCCCCCAGCGCGGAGAGTGAGGCACTGGGGTGAGAAAAGGCAGGCCAGCCTGCTGGAACCCGCCTGTCCTGTGTGACCCTCTCACCAGGCTCCAGGGATACGTCTCTGCCTTCTTCTCTCCAAGGGGACTTGGTCAGCAGTAGATGAGCACTAAGGTCTCCTTTTAGGGCTATAAAAATAAAAAATTTTTAATAGAATATTCTTCTGAAGCCACACAAAACCACCTACTCCTTACCACATAGATTCTGATGCTATCCATGTATTTTGTGTGTTCCTGGAGTAGATCGCATCTTTCAACCTCAGTCACACGGTGAACAGTATTGGGGTCGGGCGCTTTATGAATGTGCTCTTCGCCCTTGGCTTCTGCCTGGGTGCCCGGAGGCTGCCCGGCGGGGCTGGAAAGGAGGCTGGGAGGCGGGCCTTGGACCTCTCCCCTTTGACTCATCCAGAATAGCTTTGCTTTTAACTATTTTGATTATTTGGTTTCTGAGCAAGATTTCATTTTTAAATAGGACTCTGCTGCTTTAGGAAGATGGCAAATCTGTGTTACAGATTTTGTAAAAAAAAAAAGAAGAAGAAGAAGAAGAAGAAGAAACAGCAGCAGCTTATTTCTCTTTATTTTTAAAATTCTTATTTTATCAGAACCTCTTACTCAGCAACCTTACCTGGATGGAATATAGCCAAGATAACGGTGTTTGAACAATCTTTAACCCACACTCTAAGCTTACTCATTTTTAATTTAGGCAAATCTCTAAAAGTGTGCTGACTCAGTTTACTAGCCTGCAGCAGACTAGACCCAGGGCAGGAGAAGAGCAGGAGACTCGGGGAGCCAGAGGTGAGTGCGCGGTGAGCTTCGCACCGAGAGCTGGACCTGCCTCCCCAAGGGGGAGACTAGAAGAAATAAGCAGGCCCAAGAAGTCAGTCACTGCGGCCCTCGGGCCGAAAGGGACACTAAGCCCTGTGTTTGATTCCCCAGATAACTGCTGGTGCCCCCAGGGTCGACCCTGAGCGAGCATGAAGGCAAACTGTATGTTCAAGAAGTCCGGGGAACATGCAGTCTATTCTATAAAGTTTCCCATGATTGAAATACAGAAAATGTAGACTGTTACCGGAACAAGCGTCACTAGGAAGGGTCCCCTTTTGTCGACCCTGTCGCCAGGTGGGCAGACCGCTCTCACCTCCCACCCCTGGCGTGCCCAGGGGCGCTCTCCCCTGCCAGCACACCCAGGTTTTGGGGCTTTGTCCCCATGAACCAGGCCCAGCAGGTCCACAAGTCTCTTAAAAAACTGCTCAGTGAAGGGAAGTTGAGAGAAATCTCCTGTAGGGTTTTCTTTTCTTCATGTGTATCCACTCAACATGCTAAATTGTATTTTATTTTCTTTTAAAAGTTTGTTTTTTTACTTTTCTGATTATGAAAGTGTTCCTTACTCATCATTAAAAAGACAGGCCAGTGTAAAGAAAGAGTCACAGTTTTTCCTGTTCTCACGGTCTGAGACAGCCGCTCACCATGTCTGTGTGTTCCCTTGCAGTCTCTTTTCTGTGAATATTTTTTCCAGTCTTACTGAGGTATAACTGATATATAATATGTGTTAGTTTTATGTGTACATGAGATGGATGATAACTTATTGTGGTAATCAGCAAAACAATCACCACATCGTGACACTGTTCTAATCAGCAGGGTGATTACCACAATAAGTTTTCATCCATCTCCTCACGTTACAGTTTTTTTCCATATGATGAGAACTTCCAAGATCTACTCTCTTTGTAACTTTGAGATATGCAGTACAGTATTCAGTTTAGTTATCATGCTGTACATTACATCCTCAAAACTCATTTATCTTTTAACCGGAAGTTTATACCTTTTGCCCACCTTCATCCATTTCACCCCCCCTCCTCCCCTCTAGGAATATTTTTACATAGCTAAGATCATACTGTACAGATACTCATGTTCTGCTTTCTACACTTAACATTACAGATCTTCCTCAACTTACAATAGAATTACATCAAGATAAACCCATTGTAAGTTGAAAATATAAGTAGAAAATGCATTTAATACACTTAATCTACTTAACATCATAGCTTAGCCTAGCCCACCTTAAACATGCTCAGAATACTTGCATTAGCCTTTTTGGCTAATCATTCAACACAAATTTGGGCAAAATCATTTAACACAAAGTCTGTTTTATAATAAAGCATTGAATACCTCATGTATCTTACTGAGTACTGTACTGAAAGTGAAAAATAGAGTGGTTGCATGGGTCCAGAATGGTTGTAATTGTGTTGGTTGTTCACCTTCGTGGTCCTGTAGCCGACTGGGGGCTGGGGCTCACTGTCCGGCAGCACAAGACAGCATCAGACCACTTGCTGCCAGCCCAGGGAAAGATCGAAATTCAAAATTCAAAGTGTGGTTTCTCTTGAACCTCTGTAGCCTCCACAGCACTGTAAAATCGAAAAATCATGTCTAACCATCATAAATCAGGGACTGTCTGTACGTCAGAATCATTCTTTATGAATATTGTATTGAAGGCTGCATGGCTTTATCTTGTGGAGGCTGCCCGTGGTTTGCCTAATCGCTTCCTGTTTTGTCTTAAGTAGTTTACCATATCATGACACTGTTCTACTGCACTTGTAAAGAGGTGAATAATTTGTGTGTGTGATAATATTTTGCTGCATACAGTTCTGTAGAAAAAATTCAGCTCCTTCAGCACGTCTGTGTTTAGGGATGGTTTGAAACTTTGCTTAAACCAACTCCGTTGTGGTGAATTTATTGAACTCAGAATTGTTTGGGATTTCAGAGAGTTTTTCTCCTGATGCCAGATCACAAACGAATCCTCCCCTGTAAATAAAACACATGCTGTAAGTATCTCCGGGCTTATCAGAGTGACTAGCAAGTGGGGTCAGAGGAACTGGTGTTTGGAGATGGCACTTTAGAACTGAGCTGGACCTGACGGCAAAGTACTGACTGGACACGTTGGAACAAGGAGAAAGCAGGATAAATGGGCAGAGAGAGCATTAAGCAGTAAAAGGGGGAGACAGAGACCCTGTGGCTGTGACTGGGGAAGAGGAAGGTGCAGCAGGGTTTGGAGATGATTATTGAGAGGTAAGCTCACTACGAGGAAGAAACCAGAAAAGTGAAAAAAGCCAGATCTTCTATTCCAACACCTTGGCTCCGAGGAGGACTGAGTACTGAACTGGACATCTACTTCTGACTTGGGGGAAAATCAGAGAAGTCCGTTCATCCCTGAGGCAATTGCTGAAATGTGACAATCTATGAGAAGAAAGAATATGATAAAAAGTAGAGATGAAATAAGAAGTTAATTAAAATGATAGTAGTTGTCTAACACTAGGACATCGCACCTTATGAGGATGCTCTTTGTAAGCATATTTGTAGAATTCTTTATACTCTTCTTCCCATCTGTGGCCTCTTAGACTTCAAGTGAAGCTATAAGTGTAGAAATTATTCCTACCTCACAGCCAGATGAGAAATCAGGATTCAGAGAGGTGAAATAAGCGCCCTGAAGTGATATAAAAAAATTATTGAAAGACCAGACTAGAACCTAGGTTTTGCAAAGCCCAGCTTAGTATACTTTTCATTTCATTCGTGTTGCTTAAGAAAATCAGATGTGTCTCAGGCCCCATCTGTTGGTGTTCCCTGATGTGTGTCTTGGGCAGGGGTGGGGAATATAGATGATGCCCATTTACCAAAAGCGTTCATTGAGAAGACACCATTCTGCAACTCTGAAAGCTGTCTGGGAAACTTCTGGAACATATCTTTGTGCTTTAGGAGACTCGTTAAGATTCTGGGAAGGGGCGTATGAGTGTGTTTTGGGTGAACAAACTGGACCACAGTCTAGCAGATAGACTGCCTGGATTCTATCCCCAGCTCTGTCACTAGCTATGTGATCTTAGGTAGTCATTGTCCTTCTTGAGGCTTGAACACTTTATACTATACAAAGAGGTAGATTGGTTCAAGAAATGGATAGTGGTGGTGGTTGTACAATATTGTGAATGTAGTTAAGGTCACTGAATTGGAGGCTTAAAAATGATTAAAATAAGCTTAAAAAAAGGAGTAGATGATCTCTCCTATGAGGTCTGTGACTCTGTGATATTTTGAAAGCTGAGATTGGAACCACAGGTAGACCAGCATTCTGATCTTATGGGGACCGCAAGCCATTTTGAGGTTGTTCAGATCCTCCGCCCCACTGCAGATTATGTCAGCACCAGATGGCATCATGAGCTGCCTGTCCACTCCATGGCATTTCACCCTTAAAAGCTGAATGTGTCGTGGCTCCCTTACATTAATAGAAGGGCTCCATTGACAGACACTTTTTTAATTTAGGCAAATCTCTAAAAGTGTGCTGACTCAGTTTACTAGCCTGCAGCAGACTAGACCCAGGGCAGGAGAAGAGCAGGAGACTCGGGGAGCCAGAGGTGAGTGCGCGGTGAGCTTCGCACCGAGAGCTGGACCTGCCTCCCCAAGGGGGAGACTAGAAGAAATAAGCAGGCCCAAGAAGTCAGTCACTGCGGCCCTCGGGCCGAAAGGGACACTAAGCCCTGTGTTTGATTCCCCAGATAACTGCTGGTGCCCCCAGGGTCGACCCTGAGCGAGCATGAAGGCAAACTGTATGTTCAAGAAGTCCGGGGAACATGCAGTCTATTCTATAAAGTTTCCCATGATTGAAATACAGAAAATGTAGACTGTTACCGGAACAAGCGTCACTAGGAAGGGTCCCCTTTTGTCGACCCTGTTGCCAGGTGGGCAGACCGCTCTCACCTCCCACCCCTGGCGTGCCCAGGGGCGCTCTCCCCTGCCAGCACACCCAGGTTTTGGGGCTTTGTCCCCATGAACCAGGCCCAGCAGGTCCACAAGTCTCTTAAAAAACTGCTCAGTGAAGGGAAGTTGAGAGAAATCTCCTGTAGGGTTTTCTTTTCTTCATGTGTATCCACTCAACATGCTAAATTGTATTTT